TGCAGAGCTGAACAAGGAATCAAACAGAAGCCATCTTGCAGCAAGTAATTTTCAGGAACAGAAGAGAAACTCTGCATCATTAATTGCTAAAGGAAAGAAAAAAACCCACACTAAAAATTCTGTGTTATAAGGAGAAATCCTGCTTACCTGGATTGGTGCCCTGACTCATTTGCCATAATGAGCTTTCTCAAAAAACAATCCACAAGAAACAACCACTTTCAATAATAAGCAATAGTTTAAAAAAGTATACAAAACTTAAATTTACTCTAGGGGGATATGAGGAAGGGAACTAGAAAAACAAGTGGCAGATGAAACTTATTCACAAAAAAAATAATGCTACAAAGATGAAAATTGTGACCTAATACTCACTGCATACTTTAAAAACTTAGTGGTTCAATCTAGAGATACAAAACATGTAAGAACCAACATGCTGTGGTATATTGGCTCCTCCATTGGTTTATAGGCTATGGATTATAAATAGAGATTCTCAAAAGTGGGAATTATCTAAACCAGTAATCAAGTGAGAAACATACTCAGCGACATGAGGCTTAATCTTCTTCATCTGTATATCATCATCGAGATGATATGACCTCTTCCCACTATTGCTGATACAAGAATCCAGTTTAAAAACTTAGGCCAGGGCTTGACATAGAGAAGATCTTAATAAATGAACCCTATTTGTGACTAATTGATGGGGAGTACAATCTCAGGGAAGCAAGAGTAAGGAAAGGGGAGAATGGAACCAAAAAATGTCGGTAAGGCAAAGAAGAGAGGACAACAAGCGCCTGCTGGGTGAAATCAGCTGACTGGCTATAGCTCTCAGAAAATGCTGACCGATGGTGGGCCTGCATGTTACAGGGCAGGGACAGGGGCAGCCTAGTCCCTGCAAACCTGCCTGCTCTAAATAGGTTCTGCCATCTGCCGCATCAACACAAAACATATGAGACTTTAATGGAAGGAACTTGAATACAATTAGGAAACAACACAGGAAAGGCAAAGAATCTAGTTTCTAAATCAAGCACCCAAAGTTACCCGTCCCCTCGTGGGTAAAAGTCCACCCAAACGGGATTGGCCCAGAGCAAGGCCCCAAAGCCTGCCACAAGTCCAAAGCATCTTAGATTGGGGACCCACAGAAAAGGGTCAGAAACAACCAGACAAGTCTGAAAGGAAAAGAGCAAAATCAAAATTAAGACAAAAACCGCCATTGTCACCTCCGCACGGGTCTCTCACCCACATCTGTGTCACCCAGTCCACGACCAAAAGGCAAGCGCAGTTTCCTCACGTCTCTCTGCTCCATGTGCCTCCTCCAGGGCTCCTTCTGGCTCCATCCTGCTTCCTTCCTTCCTCAGTCTCCTCTGCAGCTTCTTCTCTCCCTGCTCAGCTCTACCCTCCCTTGGGTGGGGCAGGAAACCTGGAACCTCCCCTTTTCTTGGGGACCACCCTGTTACATGAGGAATCGCTTCATCTGGGAACAGAAAATTGCTCGGTTGGATTTGACTGCCAGAGCTGCTACAGTGGCTGGTATAACAGAGCTTCAGTCCCAGCCTGGCCCTCCCCCTACCACAAGGCTATGACAATGGCTGTGTTAGAAAAGGCAAATATGGCAGCCCTCAGGCCTTTGCTTCCTAAATCAGGAAACCAGGGCAGTGGCCAAAGGCCTTAAAGCAGCATGGGTGGTGCTAAGTGGATTGGGGATGGTCATAAAGTGGACCCAGTGCATTTTTAATAAAAAATTGTTGAGGGGGCTTCACTGGTGGCACTGGGGTTAAAGTCTCAGCCCTATCAAGTTATCACTAGCCACTATGGCATGAGTTCAGTTCCATCCCCGGCCAGGGAGCTACCCCACTTGGCGCAGCAGACCTCGCCTGTCTCGCCCTTTGCTCCCCTCAGCAGTGTATTTCAGTCAATCCGCCTGTTCTGCTCTCCACTCTGTCTCCCCCCACCACTCCCCCCACCAACTGCTGGCCTAGACCCCAGTTCTTGCATGCTAAATAAATAAAATAAATCTTAAAAAGTAGTTGGTTAATTTTAAATAATAAACAGAGGACATAAAAATAATGTGTCAGATCAAAGAGAAAAACTGAATTAAGGGACCAAATATGTGAGGATGAATAGGAGAGGAGGGGAAATCAGGCAAACTCCACAGAGAATGAAGACATAGAGAAGATACAGAAGAAGAACTGCATTATGACTTCCATGGGACCTTGGTATTTTTACACTCATGGCTCCTTCCTTCATAAAAAATTTTTTTAAAAATCTCGTTTTACAATTGTGTTGTAAAGACCATTATATTAATATTATATATTCAAACATTCCCTTTACCTAAAAGTTCACTTTTTTCTTCTGATTAAAAAAAAAATGAAAACATTGGCATGGACCCAGAAAGAAATGTAACGTCAGGACTGCCTCTGCTCTGCCTTAGTCAGCCCTGGCAGGAAGTGACAGCCTCAAAGGAGAAAAATAAACAGGGCTCCAGTGTGAGCCAACTGCTAAGGTAGATTCTTGTGCACCATTGTGCTCTAGCATCTCACTGGAATAAGTTTGCTTATTCTTCAAATATTCCTTGAGTACCTAGTATGTGCCAGGCACTGTGTTAAGTGCTGAGTGGACATAGATAAATAAGACACTGCTCTTGACTTGCATATTGGTTCCTGTGTCAGTCCAGAATCTTTCAGCTGCAGGGGAAAATCAACACATTAAAAAATAAACTGTAATCAGGGTTAAGTCATGTGTGTGTATTTGTGGGTGTTTGTGTGTGTATGTATAAGCAGTTACTCGTTCACATAAATGAAAGCGTCCCTGGTGAGAGCTGATTTCCTGCCTGACCGAATACAGAGTTCATGTGAGCATAACAAAACAATACCAAACATTTTGCATAGCCACTCATTTAATTCACAACAAACCTCAAGGTAGATAGCGTGATTAACTCCATTTTGCCCATGAGCAAAGTGTGACTCTCAATCTCTCTCCATTTCTCTGTTGTTCTTTCTCAAGGCAGGCTTCTTTTCAAATTCTCATAGTGTCCCTAATTTATTAGTTATTTATGAGAGAAAAAATTCACAACAGTCATTAATAAAGAATCTGTCGGCCTTGGTGATTCATTAGATATAGGAATTGGGGTGGGGTGAGACTGAAGGGTCAGGTCTTTGGTTAGTAAGATTTTTCAAGGTGAATACAGAGGAGAACCTTCATTTATGAGAAAAGATGAGCAGGGTTTTAGATTTGTTGAATTTATAACATATCAACCTCACACCATACACAAAAATCAACTCAAAATGGATTAAAGAACTAGACATAAGACCTGAAACCATAAAATACATAGAAGGAAATATAGGCGAAACACTACATGATATTCACATCAAAGATATCTTTACAGACACATCACCCAAAGCAGTGATAATGAAGGCAAAGATAAACATCTGGGACTACATCAAATTAAAGAGCTTCTGCACAGCAAAAGAGACAATAACAAAAACAAAGAGAAACCCCACCAACTGGGAGAACATTTTTGCACACAACACTAATGATAAAGGACTGATCACAAAAATCTACAAAGAGCTGATGAGACTCAACAATAAAGAAAATAATCCAGTGAAAAAATGGGCAGAAGAGCTAAAAAGAAACTTCTCTGAAGAGGAAATGCAAATGGCCAACAGGCATATGAAAAAATGTTCAACATCACTTGTAATCAGGAAAATGCAAATCAAAACTACCATGAGATACCATCTCACACCAGTGAGAATGGCACATATTAAACAAACTAGCAACAACAAATGTTGGCGAGGGTGTGGAGAAAAAGGAACTCTCCTGCACTGTTGGTGGGAGTGCAAACTGGTCCAACCACTATGGAGAGCTGTGTGGAGATTTCTGGACCTACTAAACATAGAGCTTCCATATGATCCAGCAATTCCACTCCTACGTATTTACCCAAAGGACACAGAAACATCAATTTCAAAGAACACCTGCACCCCTATGTTTATAGCAGCACTAGTTACAATAGCTAAGCTTTGGAAACAGCCCAAATGCCCAAAAATAGATGACTGGATCAAGAAGATGTGGTACATATATACCATGGAATATTACCCAGTATTCAAAAAAGATAAACACATGCAATTTGCAGCAACATGGATGGCGCTGGAAGGGATCATGCTCAGCGAAATAAGCCAGAAAGAAAAAGAAAAATACCGGATGGTCTCACTCATAGCAGGAATCTAGAAAACTTAAACAAGGGACCAGTTAAATGAATAACTATAAGAAAGTGAAAATCAAAATCAAGAAAAATCTATGAACCAGAGACACTTTTTGGGGGGTGGGTGGCGGGAGGGGAGGGATTGGGGTCAGAATGGGGGGTTGCATTTGTATGGGGAATATAAAAATAAAATTTATTATTTAAAAAATATATATATAACATATCAGTGGGGTACTCAAATGAATGTCTCGATTTTATTGTATCTCAGGTCAATATAAAAGTGCCTGGAAAAATTTACATAAAAATAAATAATGCAACAGGATAAAAAATAAAGAAGAGAGGAAATCAGCCTGGAGAGGTCATTTCTCCCTGGGAGCCCTCCCTGAAATTATTACTGCTCCTGCTGGGTTAGAGGCCCTGTTTGTGTGCTCCTGCAGCACCTTTTATTTCTCTCCTCATAACTTTTATTTAAAATTTTGTAACAGGGCCTCCCCGGTGGCGCAGCGGTTGAGCGCTGGGTTGCGAAGCTACCTGCAGCCTCTGTGACGCCGGTTCGATCCCTGGCTGCTCCCCGGCCACCGGAGGAGGGTCCCACATGGCGTGCAGACCTCTCCTGCAGCCCGCTGCTCCCCTCAGCAGTGTACTTCGGTCCTTCTGCCTGCTCTGCTCGCCACTCTGGCTCTGGTGAATTCTCTCACCCTCCCATGCTTCTGACTGTACCCAGTGCATGTTTAAACAAAACAAACAAACAAACAAATAAAATAAAACATACCTTTATATAAAAAATAAATAAATAAAATTTTGTAACAATTGCCAAGCTCATAGAAGTTCTGAGGGCAGCGTGCCTGCCTGTACAACATACCATCTATCTCAATCACTGAGCACAACAAATAACCAAATGAGTGAAAGAATAAATGAAAAATTTTATTTAATCCTCATAACACACCTGGAAAAAGAGAATCATCACTCACCAGCTCAAGGATCTTTGGGATATTGGATCCCTAGAAAATATACCTCCTCACATATTTGGCCCTTATAAAAAGGCCTTGCTTTTTCCATACATCTTTCCACCTTCCTATTTAAAATAGATATGGGCAAAGTGAAACAATTCACAAAAGTATGGTTCAGATTTGGTGAACATAATATAAGGAGTGGCTGAATAAGCCAGCAATGTTTGACTTGAGGAAGCAATTGTGGAGGAGTCTTAGATGAGCCCATCCTGTGTGTCCTGGAGGAGTTGAACTCCCAGAACATACACAGCATAGAAATAAAGGAATTTGTGCAGTTGTTGTTGAAGGGAAGTTAATTGCCACATATGGAAACCATGAAGATGGGTTTTGATCTCAGTATAAAGAAAAGTTCCCTAGCAGCAAATTTGTTCAAATAGGGTTGACTGAACCTGAGGGAGTGCCACGCCCTGGGGTTGGCTAAATAGAGGCCAATTAAGGTCAGGCAACAAGATGGTATTGGAAATACAGGTGGATCAATGGCGTTTCAGCTTCCGTCAATACTGACATTAAATGATTCAACTCTCAAGAAAGGAAAGTCAAAAAGATCTTTAGTACTTGACAGGGGAAGAAGTTTCTCACCAGGAATGTATATATTCCATGTAGGAGGAATAGCACAGCAGAAAATGGGTAGACCAGATCAAATGATCTTGGCCATTCTCTTGCCATATTCTTTTTCCTTACACTTTAAGGTTTTATGTGGCTTCCCAAGTAACAGGATGGAAACTGTTCTGGCTATCTAATAAAATTATTCTAGTTCAATTAGCTATTTTAGTTCATGGGGAAGTTAACAAATCTAGCACTCTAAACATCAAGTTAATCAGTGTTTTCTAAGATGGGTTATTGCAAATGAATCCCTCTTAACATAAACATGTTGAGAGGTACAATACAGTGTGCTTCTGGCCTGAATAACTGAGAACCAGACTCTGAATTTCAGTCCAGCAGTGTGCCTCCCCCCTGCTTAAAGCAACCAGCTATATGTCACATGCTGCTTCTCAAGTTAGCATTGTGCTAGTGTCTCCACACCTGAATTTATAATAATAATTAGTAATTAAACTATATCAGTGACAGTGGAGAATGTGCTATAACAAAGGGAACAAATAAGGAATTAAGTTACTTCTGTTTTAATTTCATATTTATTATTTGCTGTTGCAGATGCAGCAGGAAGAAATAAAAAGTAACATTCTCTCCATCAGAGTTAGCCAAAACTTCCAGTTCCTAGAGGTCAAGGTCCAAGTTCTCTGAGCCTCCACATGCTTTCCTATGAACCATCAAGATACTTTGTTTAAGAAATATGCAGTTGGGCTTTAACTTGTGTGTGGGTTGAAAGGGAAAAGTTGGGTGGATTGCCAACTATTTGGAAAAAAAACAAGAATTTATTTCTCTTGGGGTCAGAACTGAGTCTGCTCAAACCAGTCCCTCCATGATGGTAGAACCTTGAAAAGAGCTGCTGGGAAGCTGATGCAGTCTAGGCGCTAAGGCGTGGAAGTCTGCAAGAAGAGCCCTGGATTTTTCCAGAGGTAATGGAGGTACTGCAGAATGCCTGGTCTGGGCGCAGAGCTGGACAGACAGACTTTCAGGGTTGTTCGATAAGGCACCAGCTAAGGCACTGGTAACCCAACAGTGGCATCATGTGGTCATAAGAGCAATAACAATTTAGTCAGAGACAAGATGGGGTGAAGCCCTTGGAGTAAGCATACAATCTACGGGAAATGGGGAGCTCTAAAGTAATTGATCAGATTTCTCAAACATGGCAAGTGAAGCTTGGATTCTTCTAACTGAATGGGAGGTGAGAATTTAAGTCTCTTGAACTCTGATTCCATTTTAAATTTCCAATATCCTTGTCTAATGGACCGCAGTCATTATCTATATTCCTGCTGTTTCTTTTGCTTCAGAGTCCATAGCCAGAGGCCTTCTAGTTCATATGTTAACTTGTTTTTATCTGTTCTCTAAGTTTACTTGTTTATTGTCTGTTCCCCTAGTGGAATTGAGCTCCATTAAGGCAGGAATCTTGTCTTTCTTCTGTATGGCTGGCTCTTAGAATAGTGCCTGGCAGACACTCAGATTTAAGCAAATATTTGCTAAATGACTAGAAGGGAGAATTAAAAAGCTTAAAAGTAACGATCTTTCAGGCACTGTGCTAGGCACTTGTGTCTTTTAATTCTCAAAGCATCCCAATAGAAGTTACCATTATCTCATTTTATAGATGAGGGAACTGGCAATTTACACTACTAACCGCTGGGCTCTACTGCCCTGCACCGTCCCTGTTCTCCCTCCCATGCCTTATCTTTTCCAAGAACAGTTCCTCAACATCCCCCACTTTTCCCCTTCTACATAGGCTGAGTCCTTTCCCTCTTTCCTCTCAAACAAACCTATGCATAACTACCACTGCACGTGTATACATCATTCATTATAAGTGTATAAACTCTGAGGTCCTCGATGGCCTCAGAAGTGGCTGTCCTCTTGCTCACAAGATCTAGCATAGATCCTGGAATCCAGCGCATATTCAGAAATGTCTTTATATGAAAAGCGGTGGTGGGTGGAAAGAGTAGGTGGATGGCTGTGCTTCTTTCTCAGCTAAGCCCCTGACCTCTCACTTTTGTGATGCTCTTGCTACGTGTGCCCTACTATGCACCAGCATAGTGTCGATGTGGGAAATACAGATGTGGAAAAAAGTCCCTATTGCAAAGGAGCCACAGATTAGTGGAATGGAATGGGAGGAGTAGTTGCAAACTGTCACTGAGGGTGATAAATGCAGTCAACGCTGAGGTGTGCAAGCAGTGCTCTGGCAGCAAGAGATAGAAGTGTCCAGCCCTGAAACTGGGGTATCTTGCTGAGCTCGGCAGGATAGTAGATATGAGGGTGAGAGGACACAGCTCACTGTGGTTCAATAATAGAATGAGGGGAAGTGGCAAGAGGTGAGGTTGATCACAAAGGGCCTTGAAGATAATGTTAATGAGCTTGTACATTGTGAAAGTGATGGGGAGCCATTGAAGGGACTGAATCAGAGGGTGATGTGATCAGACTGGCGGGTCAAATAATAGTCAGATAAGGCCTGAAATAAAACTATGGCCTTGGGCATTAAAAGTAGACAGATTGCAAAGGTCAAATCTAGGCTATTTCCTGATGACATGAAAGCAAGAGTTGGAGAGACTAATGAAGACCTCAAGCTTTCTGGGTAGATGATGATGCCATTCATTGGTTAAAAAAGAGGTGTAATTTTGAATGATACATAGGAAGTGCTCAAAAAATAGTAATAAAATGGAAATTGAAGGTAATTAAAAGAAAATAGATTGCTTCTGTTGGACACATTAAATTGAAAGCATTTTTCAATAGTAGCTCAAGGCAGTGGCCTGGAGTGTTATGTGGCTGATAGGCCTGTCAAAGCAAAGCTGGAGAACCCAGAATGAGAAAAGAGCTGAAATCAGAATTCTGGAAATTTTGATTTTTAAGAGAAAGAGGACACTAAGAGGAAAACCATTAAAAATATATTAAGCACCTACAGCAAGGGACTGTACTGGAGGTTGAAAAATTGTGACTGTATTTGCCCCTGAGGAAAACACTCCAGGAGCAAGTGGCAGCCAGATATTTTTCAGTGCGCCTAGACCGCAGCCCAGGATTCATGGAACCTGGAGAAATTCTACATGATCTGTTTGAAACTGAAGTCACATTCCAGATTCCAATATCTGTCTTATTCCTTGCTGTGCCTCCAGCCCCTACCCCCAGCCCTACACATGGAGTCTGGAGTAGGTGAAATCGCTTTATTGGTGGTGAGTGAAGCGGGTATGTGAGGCCGCTCTGCTTTTAGAGGACACAAGGTGCTGGGCTGAAGAAGCTGGGAAGGATGCCCAGAGCTGCTGCGCTGTGGATGCAGGGTTCGCCTTATTTGGGCGTGAATGCCGGGTTCTCACAGGAAGGTTTATTCTGGGGGGAGGCCCAGGCATGGCAGGGGGGTAGGGGGCGGGCAGCGCCTGCCATCAGGCCGCACTCTCTATTTGGAGCACAGCTGCCTCGGCAGGCCCAGGTCTCCCGGGATCTTCCTCTGTGTCCTGCGGAGGTTCTGGCTCCAGCTTCAACTCCAGCGCAGAGGGGGGCTCGCTCTGGCCATCAACGCCCCGTCCAGGCCCAAGGCGAGGAGGCTTGACCGGCGTGGGCGACGGCGCTGCATGGCCTTGCCGGCCAGAAAAGGCCCGACGCAGACTCTGCACCTTCTGCAACCCGCTGCGCCGCAGCCTCTGGGCCCTGGACTCCACCGGCTCCTCGTCCGAGCTCTCCCCGGCTTCGGCCTCGGGCTGCTCAGCGCCGGGCTCGGACTGGTCGGCGAGGTCCGGCGCCTTCTGGAAGGCGCTCGCGGGGATTTCAGCCTCCTCCTGCGCGTGATGGACACAGTACAGACCCCGGCAGCGCCTAGACCCCCCCGCCCTCCGCCTCCCCCTAAATCACACCCGGGGCGCCCGCCCACTCTCAACCTCGGCGGCCAGCGCGGGAAGAAAAACCGGACGGGGAAAGCGGGGAGCGGGGCTGGAGAGGCAGCGCGCCGCGGGGCGCTGCAGAAGTTTGAGAGCCAACTCGGGGAGAGAGAGGTGGTGGCCGGGGGGCAGGAACTGGATGCGCAGCGAACTGTCGCAAGAGGCTCTGTCGACACCGTTAGTTTCCTTCGGGGATGGGCCGGGACCTGGAGCAGATTCTGGGGACGTGGCCTGGGCTGGAGGTGAGGCGCTAGGATTGGCCAGGCTCGGGGGACGCGCGAGGAGGGATGGGCCCGGGGTGGGAGGGGGCGCAGCTGGGAAGTTCGTGGCACCGCCGTAGGCAGAGGGTGGGGTCGGGGATGTGGGTGTGGCAGGCGGAAGGGAGGGGGAACCCCCAGAGGTGGCCCAGAGGCGGTGAAGGCCCCGGGTGGGGGACGCCCGAGGTCACTGACCTTGAAGAGCAGGACGTGGAGCTTCCCGCGCGCCACCAGCAGCCCGTGGTTGGCCTCCAGCCGCTGCACCTGGGCGGCGCGGCGCACGGCGCGCTCCTGGGCCACCCCGGCGTGCGAGCCCACGCGCTCGGTCTTGGCCAGCAGCTGCGCCAGCGTGTTGCTCGTGGTGTCGTGGCTGCGGCTCAGCGCGCCCAGGCCGCTCTGGATGCGGCGCACCGAGCCCGCCAGGCCGCCCTGCCGCTGGGCCAGGCCTCCCTGCCGCTCCCGCAGCGCCTCCAGCATGGTGGCCAGCTTCTCCAGCAGGGTCACCACCGTCACGGCGTGCACGGGGCCCCCAGTCGGGGCCCCGGGCGCCGGCCCCGGCTCCAGCGCGCTCTCCCCCATGCTCCGCGACTGCCCGGCCTGCTCGCCCAACGGCCGCCGGCTGCGATCTAGGCCGGGGCGGCCTCCCCCCGGCTCCTCCCCAGCTCCAGCGGTGACTCAGGCAGGCGGAGCGGGGCGGGCGGGATGGCAGCGAGGGGTCCCGTGGAGGCGCTCCCGCTTCTGCTGTCCCGCCCCTGGGACGCGCAGGTTGGCCCAGAAACCGCCCCACCCCCGCAAATTCTCACTGGAGCCCTGAGTTCCCTCCTCCATCGCGGTCCCCTGGTGTGAGCACTGGTTCTGGAACGCACTCCCCGCCGCAAAGGGCGAGGCACGGAAAATGTTCTGTGCAGCGAGTGGGCAGACTATTTAAGTTAACCCAGCAAAGGGATGACTAGAAGGGCCTCGAGGCCTCCGGCCCTTGACGGCCCGGCCTCCGAGGCGTGTGTCTGTCCTGGCAGAGCACAGTGGACGGGGATGTTGGAGCACAGGCCCCTCGGATGTTGGATGTTCCGCTGCAGATCTAAGCTGTCTAGACTGAGCTGCTTTGCGACTGGGCACCGACGGGCGGGGCCTCGTCTGGTATTTTCCTAATAGTCACCAGGGTATAGCCGCAGGCGTCGTTTCCCGCTTCTCTAGTTCTTACTGTTGGGGAGCAGTACCTTGTTTTCTTTATTCTAGTTCTCGCCCCTCCCTTACTTTGGACTTCACAGGCAAAGCTCAGCTGTGCCCAGCCTGGAGGTTAGACAGGACGCCTTTTTCTTCCAAACCCTTTAATTGGTTAGTAGGTACTGTAAGCCTGGTTTTTTTTTTTTTTTTTATGTTGATTGAAGCTCCTCTCTGGTTTTCATTCCTTTAATGTTTTCCTGAAAATAGATGAGACCATCTGATGAGAGTGAAGGAGGTTTGAAATTGCGCCTGTAAAGAGGGGTTGGGGGAATAATGAACCATGTGTCATTTTCCTCCTACTTACTCTTTCTTATAATCACTAACCTTAAAAGTTTTCTTCCCCCCCAAATTACTGATTGAGCATAGAGAATCCAGTTAAAGATGTGGATTATGAATCCCATAAAGTCCCATAACTTGTTTTTAGCATCGCTTGACAAAACGGATCTTTGTCTCTGAAGTCTAAGCAATCGATTTATCTTGGTGATCTCTTTCCATCTTCCTTTCCTTACCCAATATGTGAGAGCCACTTGATGGCAACTGTGGAAAATGCTTGTATCACTCAGGCCATAGTTACTTGTTCCTGAAAACACCAGAGGTCTGACTTACACAGAAGTACAGCGATGCTAAGCTGGCAACTGACCTTTATAAACAAGGTCATGGAGACTGAGCCCTCTGCTTAACACAACAGAAAACGGACTCCTTTGGAGCCTGAAGGGAATCACCATCACTTCCAGTGTATCTATTTTTGCACAGAGAGGCCCATCTGGATGTATCAATTAAAATGCTTTCAGACCAAGTGAACATAAAACCTAACTCAAGTAATTCTTAGAAATAGGAAATGCACTCTAAACATAATTGAAAATGATCATGGTAGAGTGATGATTGAGCATCGGTCAGTCACAGGCCCAAATCTGGTTCTTTATACTTCTCTCAAGTGGCATCTCTCCCCCAAAAGTTGTCAGCTTCATTCCCAGGCTGGGAGCAAGATGACTATAGTGTTTCCAGGATGCACATCTCTGTCAAGATCATCTTAAAGTTAGGACATTTAAAATTTCCCCTCGAATTTGCCTTCAGTAGGTTAGATGGCCATTCCAGAATCAAATTCTATGAGTTGGAAAGTGTCACGCATTGGTGGGTTTAGGCCGCAGGTCCTTAACCCACCACTAACAAGAAATCTGATATGTACTTTTTGGAAAATTATGCCCACTTCTAGAACAGAGTAGGTTCAACTTCCCCAGGAGGATATGGGTGGTGTGGGAGGAAAAGCAGATATCCGCGTCAAAAATCTCAGTACTGGTAGGAACAGAGAATCAAATCAAATTATCCACAGAAACCTATGATGGAAGCAGCAGCCTCGGGGAACGGCACTAAGGGAGTCCAATGCATTTGGAAGCAAGAACTGCTTGGGCAGATATTTTTCGAAGACCTAGATGAGAAAAGAAAGAAAACAAGGTTACAGAATGGCACCCTCTGAGGATGTATAACTGATTTTAGTTTAAAGATTTTTATTCTCTAAACCAGGGGTATGGCTGGGACCCACCCCCTTACATTCCTTGGTATGGGTCATGAAAAGTGAAAACTCACTAGTGTGAGTTCATTGTGTCCAAAAGGAGACGTGTTTAAGGCCTAACCTTTGACACCCATGAATATGTTCTTATTTGGGAGTAGGGTCACTGCACATGCAGTCAATTCAGATGAGGTCATACTAGAGAAGTGTGGGTCCTTAGTCCAAAATGACTGATGTCCTCAAAGAAGAGGGCAAGAGACAGGGGGAGAACACCATGTGATGATAGAGGCAGAGAGTAGAGGTTTGGTGTCAGCAGTGAAGGAATGCCTGAAACAACTAGAAGCTGAAAGAGGGAAGAAAACACTCTCCCCTAGAAGTTTTGAGGTGAGCATGGCCCTGTCAATGTCTTGATTTCCTGACAGAAAAAAAAAAAAATTCTGTTGTTTTAAGTCACAGTTTGTGGTGACTAATTTAATTTATTTAACCCTAGAAAGCTAATATATCCAATGATTACTCATCATCAATATCAGTGTACCCCCTTACCATCAATATCAGAATGTCCCCCACCCCTGAAATGGCCTCCTCGTTTAGTTCGCTGGAAGTATGAAATACTCTGTAGAAGAGTTAATAGAACCTGAAGACTCCCTGTAGAACATAAACCATTAAATTAACAGCCCCACAAATATAATGGGTCTTACAAAAATTAGTGGAATGCTATGGTAGATGAGCAAACAAATACTTCAAAAAACTGAAACAAAGGCACCACCCATCCTGCTTATCCTGGATTGTCTGTGAATCGAACCCTCTGTCTCACCTAGCCCTGCAACCTATCAGTCTCTGATTATTAAATGAAAAAGAAAAAATCTTAGAATGAGAAATGGCTAAATGAGTTATTGTGCAAGAAACATCCCTAAACCTGAGCATCATTTTCAGCTGCCCAAACTGGGACATCCTCCAGGGACATAGTCTTTGAATCCAAAGTAACTAAGTGCAACACAGGCAGAAACACTCAGTTAATGGAGAATGAGCCTCAGTGGGCAGGCATTACCTTCCACCTTTTGTCAGAGACATCCCGTCTGCGGAAGGGGTAAGGCCTTCTACACAATGGGAGCTCTGTGCCACTGGCAATTAAAAGAGCTCTAAGTTGAGAGCAACAGGAAGTGAATGTGGACATACTGTAAAATGTTCTGGGACCAACCCCTCCCTGCTCTAGCTGATGAGAGCAAAGCCTTTTGCATAGACTTAGAAGTCTGTAAAACAACTATACAAATCTACTGCCCACCAGTCTTTACATCCCCACTAATAACCAAGGAAGAGGATAAAGATTTTTAAAATGAGCATCCAGTCTTTGCATTCCCATAGGGCATTCTTTAGAAGAGATTAAATCCCTACATTGTCTTCCTCTGTGCATAGATAGCGTCAAGGCATCTTTATGTCAAAGCAACTTAAACCCAGAAGCCCCTGTCAAGAATAATCACACTAGGGCCTCCCTGGTGGCACAAGGGCTTAAGAGGCAACCTAGGAAGCTTTCCACAGACACTGCAGCACAAATTCAATACCCGGCCAGGGAGAAACCCAGATGGTGCTGCAGACCTCTCCTGGCTCACCCGCTGCTCCCCTCAGCAGTGTATTTCAGTCAGTCTGCCTGTTCTGTTCCTCACTCTGACTCTAGTGAATCCTCTCACCCCCCTCCTCTCTGGCCTGCAGTCCAGTTCTTGTATGCATAAATAAATAAATCTTTAAAAAAATAATTACACTAATGTCAATGCCTCACTATTCCTACCTATACAAACTAAATTGAAGCTTCTGTTTGTTGGAACAATTGTCACAGCATAAAATCTGTGGACCATTTCCTGAGTTCTAATCCTCATTTTGATTATGCAATGAATACTTTCTCTAACTTTAATAGACTTTTATTCCAGTTAAACACGAGAATTTGTACTGAGTCCAGATCAAAATAACCAAATGGGTGGAAGACCCTGAAATATGAACAAGCGGTACAGGGATGCCTTTCATAATAAGAATCATGCATACTATTAACCCCAACTGCTATTTTTGCATCTCACATTGTAGTGGGTGAATAGTATGCCAAAACGGGCAACCACAAGCCAAGAACCACCAAGGACCCCCGCAAACCCCAGAAACTAGGAAAGAAGCATGGAAGTCTCCCTCTGAGCCTTCCAAGGGCACATGGCTATAGCAACACTTCTGCTCTCCAGAGTGGTGAGAGAATAAATTTTTGCTGTTTTAAGCTACTAAGTTTATAGTAATCTGTTACAACTCTAAGAAACTATTATATATACAGACATCTACTGTAGGGGCAGGAATGGACTACAGTGCAGGTTTTCTGATCCAGCAGACCGGGTAAAGGAGGAGTCAGAGTCCTCAGTGGTTTCTTGCAGGTCTTTTATTGGGATTACCAGCTACACGGCAGGCAGGGGGAGCTGGGGGGCCAGGAGGCTGGCAGGCCTCCCAGCCCCCAGCAAGTCTTCACTCTTTCTGGTCTCTCCGGCGTTCTCTCTGCTTCTCGGCTTCTCTTCGGCTTCTGCTGCTGCTGGCATCCCCGTGACACTGCCCTTAAAAGCACAGTCTCAGCCCAGGTGAATCCCATCTACCTATGCCCACACCCTACTCCAGGTGCCCATCATCAGGCATGCATTCAGGACCATGAGGATCCATCATCTATCCTGATGGTGGGAAGGCAGAAAAGTCTGACATTTTTCCTTACCCTACATCTACCAAAAGAATTAGGGGCAGAAAAAAATAATCATAACCACAAAGTCAGTGGATCAATGTGCCATGTGTGAATGTTTTGGGGCACTGGTCACATTAGAGACATGTACCTGAGATGAGACAGAGGTTGACAGGAGCCCAGATTTTGCAGTACACAACTGCAGCCAGAGACAAATGTCAGGATGTGGGAGTTGGAATCCTCCAGCAAAAATGTTCTGGCACGTTCCAGAGTATAGGGTAAGGAAAAATGTCAGGCTTTTCTGCCCTCCCGCCATCAGGATAGATGATGGATCCTTGCGGTCCTGAATGCATGCCTGATAGCGGGACCCTGGAGTAGGGTGTGGGCATAGGTAGATGGGATTCACCTGGGCTGAGACTGTGCTTTTAAGGGCGGCTTCTCGGGGACACCAGAAGAAGCCGAGAAGAATTCGAGCGAGGAGCAAGAGAAGCAGAAGCCAAGAGAAGACCAGAGAGCCCACAGAGTGAAGACTTGCTGGGGGCTGGGAGGACTGCCAACCTCCTGGCCCCCCAGCACCCCTGCCTACCATATGCCTGGTGAACCCCAATAAAAGACCTGCAAAAAGCCACTGAGAACTCTGATTCCTCCTTTACCCAGTCTGCTGTATCAGAAAACCTGCTCAGTGGCCATTCCTGGCCTATACAGAGGCAAAAACATGGAAGCAGTAACTGAATAGAGTCTGTTGAACCTCTTGCTGTCATCTGAGGAATTCAGCAGGCTCTCACAGGGGAGAGGCCTCCCATGGAATTGAGCTTGCATTCTCAAGCAAATCTCAGAGGAGCCACCATCAAGCCACTGCAGCCCCAGCTGGAGCTAATTAGGCATTTATCAATGATGGCCTCTGACCCCGAAACATGTTTTGCCCTTTAATGTTTACCCCTTTAATTCAAGCGTGACAATGATCCCTGAGACTGGGACAATGATCCCTGAGGCTGCTACCCCAGGTTTTTGGTATCAAAACTCCATCCAGTTAACTGTGATGGTATCACAGTAACCAACTGCGTCCTCCAGAGACAATGTAAAATAAATCACCAGTACCTTTTCAACTTACCTGTTTGTGGAAGCTGTAGCTTAAATTATCACTACCCCTGAGGGGAAGAGATGGAGGAAATACTGATTGACATAGTTAGAACAAAGGGTTTAGATACCCTTTCTGTCACTGAGCAGCATCTAAGCCCCACAATAAATGGGCCAGAGAGCAATGAGAAGGCCTTCCTGCCCCAGAGTGCAGGGGACCACTTCAGGGTCTGCACCAGGCAAAAGAGGCCCCAAAGGCAGAAGAGAAACTAGTCTTGGAGTTGTGTCACCAAGCAGAGTGGATTCAGTGAAAAGTTGATTTGTTTGGGAAGCTACTGCAGAAAGGGGCTGCAGCTATCAATAAGGGCTAAAGGTTTATGTCAAAAAAGAAAATGAGAGAGGGGAGAATAGAGAAAGACGGGAGGGAGGGGCCACAACCATACAGCGAGGAAGAAGAGTCTCTAATAAATGGTGCTGGGAAGAATAGACGGACCCATGAATGACGCTGTTACTCTATCTCCGCTCACAAAAATACTCAATTCAAAAGAATTAACATTCACAGAAAAATTCAATATGAATTAAAAACAATATGAACGAAAAGATTTGCAATAATGAAAGAAATATATAAAGGAAAACTTTGGCAGTATAGTCTATGATGTTGTGATAAAGAAAGACATCCTCCTGGGGGAGGGGGAGGGCCACAAAGAACCGTGGTGGTGGACTCTGGTGGTGGGTGTGCTGTGGCAACAAGGCCTGCAGGAGGATCTTACACTTCTAAAATACAAAAACGGTTTAAACCAATGTTAATAAAAAATATTAATTAAAGAAAAAGACATTCCCTTGAGTGGAAGAAAATATTCACATATTACATAATCCACAAAGGGCTAATAGCCAAGCTATTTTTTTTTAAATATTACTCAATTTAACAATAAAAGAAACCTAATTAATAAATGGGCAGCAGATCTAAACAGACAATTCACCAAAAAAGATATCCAGGCAGTCAATAAATAATTTGGAAAAATGTTTATCATCTTTTTTTTTTTTTTGCATTTTAATAGGACAGGTTTATTTGGAAAAGGAAAGGAGAGCAAGACCCTTGCACAGAGATTGCAAGTCAAAACCACACTGAGATACCATCTCACGTCCTGAG